AAAAAGATCATCAATGTTTCCACGAAAGGGCTTTGCACGATCAATGTCACTTCTGACAATGTCATCTGGGATCACGTAGTCCTCCTTGATCTTGTAGATGGTCTTGCCCTTCCAGAACTCTTCACTCTGTTCAGAAAACCTCTTCTTCTCAGTGCGCCAGTTGTCCTTGTGAAGAACCTTCTTCTTGCTCTTCTGGAATTCCATGTGGGTTTCTCTCTCATCAAGAAGTTGATCTTTTGGAATTGGAGTTTTCTCTGATCGAGTCATCTCATGTAAGTTCATTCTCTTGTCCTTGTGGTGCCTGATGAGTTCACGACGTAGTGGATCAACCTGCCAGTAGTCACCAGTCACCAAAGCTTCTCCTTCATGATCATCTTGTTTGACAGCAATCTGGCTGTACTCAAAGTGATCGTGTTGTGAATAGAAACTTTTGACTTGTGGAGTCTTGAAATGAACTTGGCTCATGTACCATGCTACATCTTGTAGGTCGAGAATGAGATGAGTACTAATGGCTGTCCTCAAAACCATTTTTCTCATGCCAATACGTGCACAGGACAAATAAGCCTTCTCTGGAGTAAGTTCAAATTGAAATCCAAGGTTTCTCATCTGTGGAAGTGACATCAACAATGGGACATCACCTTCTTCGACAATGTCGAATTCTGTAAACTGAGTGTTCCATCCATGATCATACATGAATATCACGAGCTTCTCAGTACATTTGGATTGTTGTGAATTTGCAAAGAAGAATCTTGAACTTGTTGGCTGAATTTCATACCAGAGTCCACTGTTGGGATGTGAGTCAACATATCTGCAAAATGCTTCAACTGCTCGTCGAGAGCCCATAGCTCTTGTGCATCCAAGATCCAGAATACACACAGTTGGTGGTGCAGAATTCTCTGTGTGAAAAGCTAGTCCATTCTCACATGCCAGATCAGTTTGTACAGTATGAAATGAAAAAGCACTCTGCTGTGATGGTTCCTCTATCTCTGTAGAGCATCCATGTGAAAACAATGATGTGCCTTCTGCCAATGGCTTCCATGAAGCCTCACCTTCTTGAAGACCAACTTGCCTGGGCACTACAGCTGGACGTTGTTGTACACCTTGTCGTAGTGCACCAACTTCTCCAACCAGAACAGGGAATCTCTTCATTTCTCTCCTGTTTTGATGTGCTCTTGCATCACGTTGGTTCTGTCCTCCACGACGAGTACGTCGTTGTTCATCTTGTGCTGCATACGTGGATGTCAAAACATCAACACGTGCTGGCTCTGTCTCTGCAACATCAACACGTGCTGGTTCAGTTGTTCCAAATGAAAAGAAACCATGACCAGAACTTGAAGCTGCAGAAGAATAATGAGCTTGTTGAGTTGGTTGATTCTGTATGGCAGGAGCTGATGTGGTCTGAGGTTGAACATAGTTCGACTTGCCTTTTCCATCTCCTGGCTTTCCTCCTTTTCCATCATCATCCTTGCCTTTCTTTCCTTTTCCTTTTCCTTTTCCTTTCTTCTGGAAGTATCCATACTCATCCATGTAGTACAGATCATCATAGGCCCAATAGCCTTCATTCCAGGTTTGATCATCGGCCCAATAGCCGTCATAGTTTTCATTCCATTCATCTTCTTGCCATTCATCTTCATAACCTTCTTCACTCACCATGTGAGCACGGCCTTTTCTTCTTCCTTTTCCTCGGCCTTTTCCTTTTCTTGATTTGAAGAACCTTCGTCCTCCTCTGCCTTTTCCTTTTCCTTTTCTCTTTCCTTTACCTTTGCCTCGTCTGATGTATTTGCCTTGGAACCTTCTCTGATACCATGTGAAGTTGGCGTCATCATAAACCCAGAAAACATCTTCTAAAGCATCCAGGAATCCTTCTGCGCCGTCTTCTTCATCTTCGGCCCAATAGCCGTCGGTTCCTTCTAATTCACCTTCATCCAGTACGAGGAAAGATCTTCTCTGTGCCATGCCAGAGGGTTGCATCAATGGATTGTCAACTGCTGTTTTGGTAGTGCAAAACATTTCCAAAAACAGGTCACGTAGTTCTTGAATACTGTATCGATCGAGGGTTCGTCCACGATGTGTCATGATACTTGTGAGTGTGTTTCTCTGATCTTGACTCAGGTCAGCTAGACTTACAAAAATCAATGCTAGCAAATTTTCACCCAGTGGGAATGCTTGTCGCTGTGCTTCTCTACGATTTTCCTGAAATTGTCTGAATGCCGCTAGTGCCAGTTCATCTGTCCAAGGAACAGCTACATGGGGTGTTCCTGAGGCTGCTGCTACTTCAGCTCTCTCTTGTTGATCTCGTTCATGTTCTTGACGTCGTTGTTGAACAAACAGGATTGCTTCAGGACTAGTCACTGTTACTTCTGGAAGTAAATCCATCCAAGACTCAATAAGTCTATTGCCAGTGAGTTGAAATCTAGTCATCCACTTCTGAAGATCCATGGTTCCTCTGTTGAACTTCATGAACTGCATGAAACGGTATAAGAACACGTTCTGGGCACCTTTGATGAAATGAGGTCGTAGAAATCTTTTGAAATAAGCCACTCCTTCATAGGGATCCCTGAGTAATTCTCTATCCAATAGCCTCTTGTATTGTTGAGCATCTCCTTCCAGTCTGTTGCGCAATGCTGGACCACGTTTCTCTGGTTCTAACTCCGTAATGTCACACCAGTCATCAATTGCATCCTCAAAAGCAAAGAAGCTGGTTCGCCCATCATAGGCTGGAGCAACCTTTGTGGTCATCTGTTGCGTCATATGAATCTGTGTATGCTGGGGTGCTCTTCTCATTGCATAAGAGTCATATTGGTTCCATTCATTTGCATCGACAATGTCGAAGTCATCATCATCATAGCCATGGCTTGCCATTTCTTGGGCTCTACCTGGAGCTCACCCTCAATGAGGGATCACTGCTCCGCTACCACTTGAAGAGGGGCCCTAGCGTCTACTTCAAGATCAGCTAAGGCGTCTTCCCCAATGACAGCACTTGTTTTACTCAGCCTGTTGCCGGTCCGTGCTTGTCTACAGGGTTACTCTATATACCTCTTGAGCCTTGAGGGGCGCATATAAATGTGCTCAATACTCATGCATGTACCTATGTAGGTATTAGGTCGAAACAAAAACAAGGGCGCAGCGCCTCCCCCCCAAAGCAGATTGGAAACACCTATTTTCACATGCAAGGTGCTGGGTTGAATGTGATACTCAAGGTGTATGTAGGTAGGTATGTATGTATGTATGCATGTATGTATGTATATGCAGGGTTTGGTTTAGGGTTTAGGGATACAACATGTAGGTATAATTACGTGATTATTTGTAGTTTATTTTGGGATCAAAGCTGTGTATAAAAACAACCACAAATATGTCATATATATATATATATATATACGTCTGTATATCTATAAGTAAATATGTATGTGTAATTATAATATATATATATATATATATATATTTACATTTATATATATATATATTTATATATATATATATATTTATGTAAATATATATACTGAGAGATACACAATTATATAAATATTTACATGGATATGTATATACATATTAATTTATATATATATATATACATTTATATAAGTACATGTATATATATATATATAAATGCAAATATATACATACATATATATATACATATATATATATATGTGTGTGTGTGTGTCTATATATATATATATATATATGTCTAGATATATGTATATATATATACACATAAATTTTAACATAAATATGAATATAGTCGAATCAAACTATATAGTGTATTGAAAAGTGTCTTTCTTTTTTATTTAAATAGTTTAAAAAAAGCGGGAGGGGGGGATTCAGGGGAAGGGCGCAGCGCCTCCCCCCCAAAGCAGATTGGAAACACCTATTTTCACATGCAAGGTGCTGGCTTGAATGTGATACTCAAGGTGTATAGACTACACGACATGCACCCTGGAAACATGTGGAATACAGTATATATACTTGTAGATACATACTCATATATATATATATATACAGTTATATGTATATACATATGAATGTGTATATATATATAAGTACATAAATATATATATATATATTAATATGTAAATATAAATATATAAATATAAATACATAAATATATATATATAAATATATAAGTGTATATATACATGCATAAATATAAGTATATGTATATATTTACATATTTCTATATGTAAGTATATATATATATTTGAATTTGAACATAAATAGAAATACTATGTATATAAAAATATAAACAGAAAATATAAATAATATAAATATATTTAAATATAAATATATAAGTGTGTATATAAATGCATATATATATATGTATATATACATATACATAAATAACAGTACGCAACTGCTACGGTGATGCCTGCATGTAATTTGAATGATCTCTTATGCATGTAATATTACATCATTATTTCTTTCCTTTCTTGTTTCCTTCCTTTCTCGTCTCCGTCCTTTCTTCCTTCTTTTCTTTCTTCCTTCCTTTCTTCTTTGGTTCCTTTTTCTTTCTTCCTTTCTTGTTTCCTTCCTTTCTTGTTTCCTTCCTTTCTTCCTTCCTTTCTTCCTTTCTTCCTTCCTTCCTTTCCGTCTTCCTTCCTGTCTTCTTTCCTTCCTGTCTTTCTTCTTTTCTTCCTTTCTTTCCTTTCTTTCCTTGCTTCCTTCCTTCCTTTCTTCCTTTCTTTCTTCCTTTCTTCCTTCCTTTCTTCCTTCCTTTCTTCCTTTCTTCCTTCCTTCCTTTCTGTCTTCCTTCCTTCCTTCTTTCCTTCCTGTCTTTCTTCTTTTCTTCCTTTCTTTCCTTGCTTCCTTCCTTCCTTCCTTTCTTCCTTTCTTCCTTTCTTCCTTCCTTTCGTCCTTTATTTTTTTTTTGATGCATTTTTATTTTTTGTTGATGCATTTTTATTTTTTTTTTGATGCCTACGCCCAGCAAGAGCACGACACAGGACATCAAAATTCTTAGTCGATCACCGGTCTGCTTCTTACCAATGGCCACCGTAGCCCGCCTAAGGAACTCGCCGGCTCGCTCAACGTTCGGATTTCCATCTCCTCAGTACATCGTCATCCTCACCCCATTCATTGCTGCTAGGACTGCGGGACACGCATAATACGCTCCCATTTAGACTATTCTAGACTTACATACGGAATCATACGGATATCTTGTGTTAATCAACACTACCTGTCACACCCGGACCTCCAATGCTCCATGGATGAAAAGCAACGAACTCACCTGCCATGCACATTGCACCATCAGCATTCCTGTCGACGGCCGACACCTGGAGAGTCTGATGCCAAGAGTCCGAATCGCAAGCAGGACATCGAACGGGCCCGTTTGCCTCAGGCTGGCAACATGCAACAGCCATCGTTCCACCCGGCATCCTAAACGTGTCAACTCTGACAGTAAACAGTCCAAGTGTCGGTGCTCTGGCACAAAATGCATATGATGTACCGATCTCGGCCATCTGGTCCCGAGCAGACTGGGCACACGTGCCTGAGATCATCGGAACAGCAAAGGAGAAGGCAAAAAATGCAAAAAAAAACTCTATATATAATTATAATAATAATAATGATAATAATAATAATAATATACTAATATAAAAACTCTATATATAATAACAATAATAATAATAGTAATAATAATATCTGTGTTCATCATATCATATTTGGTCATGCTTGGTTGTTACTGGTCGTTGCTGGTCGTTACCCCTCATTCGTGAAAGTTTCTGCATCAATCTGGGCCAAGGTGCACGTCGCCTGGGATAATTGCGTCTTGTTCCCCACATTTGAAGCACATCACCATGATGCGCTGTGCGCCAATACGATCCCACGGCACTGACTGTCTGGTTTCATTTAGAAACATCCCTGAGAACCATGTCATCTGATCCACCTTTCTTGCTCACAAAGCTGGGAGGCGAAACGATGAAGTGTCAAGAACTTATAAAATGTTCCACAGGAAGTTGTTTCCTAGATTGATTAAATATCTTTCCACATCACTTGTCTTTTGGCGCTGAGCCAGTGCAGCGAAATGCAAAAGTCTGGCTATGTTCGGATGGGCAGGGCATACCTAAAGATGTGGTCAAATCAGGTCGACTGGATCACTTGATTGGTAAGTTGCAGATTGAATAATGCCAAACCACTCCCATCTCGCATGAATCAAGCTTTGTTGTTGATTCCTTGGTGCCAACAATGCAGCGTGTTTGCTTTTCATGTCCATAAGTGTCTCTGCGCTGTTACACCGTTACGCTGAAACCTTGTACGCAACACTGCAGCCAGCTTCATAACAATGAGGAATTGATGGGACACGATTCCCAGTACTCTTCACAAAATAATCTGGAAAAATCATGGAATAGAAAAAGTGACAGCAGAAGCAAGATGAACTAAAGGCGGGCAATCTGACAATCCCTCCAACTCAAGGTGGATGCCCACATTCACTACATCTCCACCGGAAGTTCAATCTGCTTGTGACGTAAAACCGGAACATCTCAAAATCTGTTTCGTGAGTTGCCTTGGACGTCACAAGCGTGCTTAGGATTCTTAGCTGCGAACTCCGCTAAGTAAGGCTAAAATGATATCCGAATTTTTCCAGAGTCGGCTTTTAATGGTTGAATTGTCCATAGATTTTGGAATCAGTTGAAAGTGACGAGGAAGTGCCCCAGATCCGTGCCATTCCGTGCCTCTGCATCGGTGACTCTGTTCAGCTGGAACATGGCATGTCCACGACCTGTGGTCGTTGCATGGCACTCGAAAAATCTGGGCAGGTGGGAAGCCCAACCCCGTGGCTATGGTTTCAAGCTGTTTCAAAGGGGGAAAAAAACACCCAAATTCAACATGGAACACCAAAATTGTCTTTTTCGACAGGAACACCATCTTCCAAATCCGATTTTTCGACAGGTTCCGTGTTCACTTTAGGCATCAAGTGATGAAAATCAAAGCATTGGGGGACTGGCGAACATGGCTCTTGTACCAATCAGGACGAAGTTGACAACACTTGTCCTGAGATTCACACTGCACGGTCCATGTTTCGTGGTGTGACAGCATGGCCCATTTCAAGTTCAAGTTCAGAGATTTTGACTGTGACTTGACCTTGCTGATTCTGATGAAAAATCTTAATGTCCATCAAAGCCAACTTACTGGTGCTAAACGCAGGGAATTTTCAGGAATGATCCCAGTCATCACTAGTAATGTCATCATCCCAGCAGCCCCCAGCAACCCATCCATTCCCTACGTTCTCATGATTCCATGACGAGCACCGCCCCACTGCCCTGAGACTTCCGGCTGCATCGGCCAGAGCCTCGACGTATCGACCCAGCGCTGCCAGGGCGCCTGGACACAGCTGAGCACAGCTGAGCTGGGATCTTTGAATATCTGCCTCAAGATGGTGTAATAATAACAATAATAATATTACTATATATCATAATATATAATATTAATATATAATTAATGAATCAATATTAATAATACTACTGTAATAATAAGAAGTATGCGGCCAGGCGCTGTGTAATACGGCCAGGCGCTGTGTGTTAAAAAGATCTATTATAACAAATGGAATATAAATGGTTAATAGCATAACTAGAATCAAATAGATCTATAATAAATGATTGGTGGACATCTGCAAAGACATTGTCGGCTTTGGGGTGGGGGTAGAGGATGGATAGCACAGGTTTCTTGCACAGAATAGCAACTAGTGCTTCCCTAAGTACTGCGCAAGCATTCAGTGTTTAATTCTCTACGGAAATTATAATCAAATGAATCAGAAACATTGTACAAGGATGCACAGGGTTTTGTCAAAATATCCAAAAATAGCAGTTACATGGGGAACAATATGGAAATGCTGAGGAATTTGGAGAACCAAATAAACAACACCATAGTTACAATAGTTGACATATAGTTCCTGCGCCTTCCCCGATGCCCTGCCTGAACGGTTGGAGCGCAACAAGGCGCTGTCAGGATCCGCCATGATAGCCTGGGAGTAGTAGTCATAGGCTTCCTGAAACCTGGCGAAAAGGCAACGAGGTTTGAAAATCTTTGAAAATAGTGTACCCCTACACCCAATGGTCCAATGGTTAATGATCATTATCCCTACTAAATGGCTAGAATTGGGGGGTATCCCCCATTTTCAGACATACAATAATTAATCTTCTCAATCTCTTGCCATTTTGTGATAAAATGTGATCAATACTGAAAGCACTGATTCTGGCCAGCCCCCACACGTCTTAGAACTGCCTTCCAGCTGCAAAGGAAGAGTTTCCTGCGTCCTGCAAGTCACTTGCATGGTGAATGTAGGCACGGTAAGAATCAAACGGCACCACCGGCATCACCTCGCAACCATAACAATGTATAATGCATACTATAAATGAAGTTCCCTTGCGCCTTTGGAACAAGAATAGAAGGATGGATAAAACCACGGCATCGCATCACCCCAATGAATCATGAAAGCGTCCTTCTCAAAGATTTGCACTTACAAACCCTCTGTATACTACAAACAAATGCATGCATCACCCCAAACCTTTGGTCATTTTCTCATGGAAATCATACGCACGATGTTGAATCTTCACCCCCAACATCCGCTTCCTTGGCAGGTGTGGCCAAAGCATTGCATGTTGGCCTTGACACGGACAAAAAGGGCGAGCTGCATCTGGTGATAAGTGAAGTATACATAATTATATATTATATATGACAGTATATATAATTATGTTTACATTCGCTCTTCAAGCCCTCTTGGTGCTGAGATCTTGAAAATGTGACTTGAGATTTTGGATGCCAGGAATGTTCTCCCGACGATTGTTTGGAAAGTCAGGATGAGGCAGGCCCACGCCCTCTCACGTGGCCAAAAAAAACTGACTGAAATCGCGGATATTTCGTGGTGTTTCTCTAGAACCTGGCTTGCAACCCAAGCTGGTATTAGAATATTTCATGAATATTTCCTGGGGAGCCCGGGTTTGCACAAGACCCTTGTCATTGTGGATGTTCAAACATCTGGGCTCCACAACGCATCTGCCATTGGTGCAACACGCCGGTCAGCGGCGATGTTTTCTCTTGCGTTGACTTGTAATGCTGAAAGTGCTCAGTTGTTAGACAGCTGTTTCCCGATCAGAACACACTTCAGACAGTCTCTTAGATGTCCTTGATGTCTCAAACATCATGACAGGGAGTAAAATGTACGGTCGACATGTATTCACAGAGGATGTCATCATGTCATCTATCCAATCTCCAAGAAAAACAACTCTTGAATGTTGACCTTGATCTCCCAAGGATGGCAAATAGCGACTGTTACCGACTGTTACCCTGCAGAGAATACTTGAGCCAAGCGCCCACAAAACAATTTTTCATTTTCCCACGGTGGCCAGGTGGAATCCCGACTTGTCAAGCAGGAATGGACTGGGGAAGAACAGCCCCGCTGATGATGATGATGATGATGATGATGATGATGATTCGATGATTCGATGATTCGATGATGATGAAAATTATTGAAAATTATTGAAAATTATTGAAAATTATTGAAAATTATTGAAAATTATGACAAGCAATTAAGTAGAACATTAAACAGAAAGCAAAACATAATATATTAGCAAGAAAATTATATCAATATGAATATGAATATGAAAATTTATCTGAACATTGAAAATCGTGGATCAACAACCGAATCAGCGGCTGCTAAGCAAGACTTTTTCAGTCTCGCCTTCGTGCCAACTTTCGTTGGCTTGAGCCATTTTGCAATGGCAGTCACATGTCATCCTTGTGCAGTGGCCATGCTATGGTTCATGCATGCCACCACATGTCAACTTCTAAGTTTTTAAAATTCCACAGGGACTGGTGAAGTGCTTGGTGAATCGCACTCCCCCCCGCAGCCACCTGCGGAAACTCACAAAAGCTTAGCCAAAATGGCTATCGTAGCCCGGCTCTCAGCAGCGCTTTTTCAGGTCTTCATTGTTTTAAGGCTCCTCCTCATTCACATTGGCATCCTCCGACTCAGGGTCAGTCAACAAAGACCACTCTTCGACCTGGGAGACGAAGGAGTCAGGGACCCTTTGGCTAGAGTCGGAGCTCAAGGTGTTGGTGACGTCCCATTCCACGGTCAAAGGGACGTAGGACTTCGGCAGCGAACCCAAGTCTGAACCCGTAGAGGAGGGCATAGCAGCGACCCCACGTTGGATCACACCACCACGGCTATATCCTACCGTGGGGGCTCCAGAGGTCTTGTTGTGTTGGCTGGTCGGCTCCAAGAGGGGAACCAGCCGCAGCTCAGAGGAACCACCACTTGACACGGTTCCGCTCTGACTGCTGGCCAAACAACCATCCAGGTACAAGCGTCCAACCATCAAACCAGGAGCTTGTTGTGGTCGGTGACGTCGTGGCGTCTCCATTTCATAGTGCTGTCCCACGTGCACGTCTAGGTCATCATCTTTGGGCACCTCAGTCTGGGGCCATGGAGGGTCTTCTGCAGTTGCAGCCGGCTCCAGCTGGATGCTCAGGTTCATCTTTTCCATGACTTCCCGCCTCATTGTCAGGAAGGTGTAGCCGATCCATCGTGACTCGGCTCTGACGACCGGATCGTCCCATCGGTCAGCAACCAAGAACCCCACTCCATCAGCAGGATTCACAAAAAAGGCCTTTGTGACCCTTTCACCAGTCAAGAACTGGGCTTCAATTGGTGCCGAACGGTGCAGTGGATGAAACCTCTGTCTCCTCGGTGACTTGTGTACTTTGACCAAGAAGATTTCCTCACCGCACTTCGCAACGGACCAAGAGTCCTTTTTTCCTGTGGTGTTCGGCTGGAGGTACCGACTATCCAGCCAGGGTCCATGCCTTGGCATATCGTCCAGCATGGTTCCACCAGCAGCCTTTTTAGCCATTTCTGCATCTCGACGGGCTGGAGGAAACTTCGGCAAAGCGCCGATGTAGGGTCCCCTTATTTCAGAGGAGCTTGAAGGTGCACCCATCGCCGCAGCGCATTGCAGCATCATCGGCGGCGCTTTGCGGCGCACAGCTGCAGGCTTAGGAGCAGCCTTTGGAGCAGCAAAGCCCGGCTCTTGCGGCGGCAGCGGCGGCGCAGGTTTGGACATCTTAGGGGCCATGGCAGCTAAACGCACGGCCGGAACTTTTGGGCAGCCCGTAGGGCAGTGGTAGGTATCAGCCAACAGTGGTTGCAACATTTCAACAGCATCTTCAGAGTCACCACCAACGGACTCAAAACTGTTGTGCGCCATGCCACAGCTGTTTCCTGCCACAAAATCCCCAAAACCAGGACCTTCTTCGGGGTTACTGTCCCAAAAATCCCTTCGACTTTCATAGGTTCGGTGAGCCCAATTACCATTTTCAGGGGTTCTATCCCAAACCTTCCCAAAACTGTTTTCTCCAGGTTCATCTTCCCTTGGAGATCTCACACATTTTTTGGTTCTTATTTGAGGGTTTATGCCTCCAGGTTCATTTTCCCTTGGAGGTTTTTCTTTGGCCGGTTCATCTCCCCTGGCATCTTTTTCGCTTTTGAGGCCAATGGCTCTTGATGGTTTTTCCACCTCCCTCCCATCTAAACAGATCCCATTGGATCGGCCTTCATTTGAAGGCGATGGCTGCCAGTTGCACGCCAGCCATCCAGCGCAGGCAGCAGCAGCAGTAGCACAGGCCAGCCGCACGTCAGCTCGCCCAGCTGCCGTAGAAGCCACAGCCAGTGCAGCCATAGCTACGATCACCTTCACCTTGGTCACCACATCATCAGATCCCTTAGTTTCATCAGGTCCTGAAGTGGCGGTTGTTTTGGAAGACCCTTTGGAGGTTTTTTGAGGTGTGTTTTCGGGGTCATATTTGGGGATTGACGCATCAACATGAAACCCAAGGAAATGCCAGAACTTAACCCAATCCCTCAACAACGTGATTGGTTTGGTGAGCATGTCAGCGGGAAGGTCAACTCCCCTTTGGTGTCTGACTTTCCATGTTTGGGGGTCACTTTTCAACAACTCACGCAAGCAAGACGAACGAAGCCTCAAATGGCGTGTTCTCCATCCACCATCAGGGTTCATAAGTATGCTAAGTGCACTTGAATTATCCCCATAAATAACCTTTTCAAACCCATCAAGACCATCACCTGTGTTGCATGAACCATGGATAACCTTCAATAGGGCCTCAGCAGATTTCAACATTGTTGTAGCTTCGCAGTACCCAACCAATTCGGATTCCGCTGTGCTCATGGTGTGAAATGCCTGCCGAGTTGCCTCCCACTGAATTGGAGATCCTGCAGCACATAGAATGATGCCCTGGTGACTGCGGTCACCTTGAGGAGCGAAGCTGATATCGGCGAAAGCCTCAATGAGCTTCTCATGCCTTGGTACCTGAAGTGTGCCATGTGCACCGTGGTCCTTGTTGCAAGGGCGGTACAGGAGGCAAGTTTCTGGGGTGTTACACAAAAACCCTAGCACATGTTGTCCCAACTGTTGGACCCACCTTGGTTTTCTAGTAACATTCCTTCCCATGACACTTACAGCATAGGCTATGTCAGGCCTACTTCTCACAGAAAGCCAAAGCAGTTCACCTGTGATTGCTTGGGCTGCACGGACGTCAGGTGTTGTGATATCCGTTTCATCCGGTTCTGAACTGTCCAGTTTTGGCATGGGGCATGACTTTGGGGAAACATGTTCATGACGTTTCAACAACTCAGCAGTGTAAGACTTTTGTCCTACCATCAGACTCACCCCATCATCATGTCTTTTCAACTCAAAACCACAAAACCGGATCCATTCATTTTTGTCAACAGTTTCGACATCGGAACACTTCCATTCTTTTTTCAACCGGTCAAAAAAGGAGCTTCGAACATTGTCATTTGCAAGAGCCATGATGTCGTCCACATAAACAATAACATGACCTTCACATGTTGGTTCGGCATCCCCATGACCATGTTTCATGATTTTCCACAAGTTCTCTTCTTCGGTTCTTTTGAGGGAAAAGTCACAACCATCCATCTTCCATTTGAACCCACTCATGACCTGATCCCTGTGCACCGCCCAATGTGCGGGGCTTGAAGTGAACCCATACAAAGCGTTATGAACTCTCCACCGTTCAGAAGGGCTGCAAACTTTGGCTTCCACAAGTATTTTTGGGGGCACAACAATCACCTCCCGGGCATCTTGAGGTTTCGGCCGAGGAGCAAGGAGAAATGCTGTGCGAATGTCGGTAATGCCAGCGCCCCATCCCATCTGCACGGAGTGAGCCAGTGTAGCTCGGATTAATATGCCATCAGCGCCAGAAGCGTAGAGATTGCCCGGAGCTGGATCCAAGTCACTTTGCAGCAGGTTTCCACAAACTACTGCTCTACATTTCTTTTTTCCACCATTTGGACCCGCTTTTCGAACAGTCACAAGTTTTCCAGGAACAAACTCAACCGCTTCTTGGTTCAACATGGAAAGGTCAACAGGTTCAATGGCCTTGGTTTCATGGACCAAACTGTTGTATTCTTTCATCATCGCATCTTTCCATTCCCCAAGTTCATTTCTGACTTCATTCAAAGGGATTGTGGTTGTTTGCAAAATCTCCCCCGGACCCTGGTTCAACCCTTCATCAGTTTGCAGTCCACACATTTTGACAACCCTTTTGTTTTGGGCATCCCGAACCAAGAAGAGATCGTTTTCCAACCGTTCTTTTTCCCCTTGAAGCCATTGGATATCAGCCCCACAAATTTCCCCAAGAGATTTCGTGGTGGGAACAACATCCAACAGGTCTTGTAATGAACTGGAAATAGTTTGATGTTTCCAACCCAAACATTTTTCCAAACAATCCAAAGATTCCAACTTGGCAACAACCCTTGATTTCGTTCCCAAACCAAAATTTTCAGGGTTTTTTGGGTGGCTATCTCCCCCGGACCCAGCTTCAACATTCAACCCCTTAACAAACCGTGGTGCCTCCCTAAGGTTTTCTTGGTCGATTTCATCAAAGATCCCCAACATTTCATCCCCATTATCCCCATGTTCACCATCAACCTCAAGAACAACTTCATTTCGGGGTTCATTTTCA